TGTAGTTTAAAGAAGATATTTATAGTAAAGATGAGGCCATAGTATTTTGAAGTTGAGAAAAAAAACATCTATCGTTTCTTTATCTCATCTTTACCGTCAAATGAATTTCAATTGATTCACTTCAAATACTGTAATTGTTTTATGATCCTGCTAACATATAAGCAGTTATTTCTAAATAATGTTCAATCAAATTAATTTCAAAGTTTATTTATTTATTACGGTTGTATTCATAACATTTCTTATCTCACTCAAATATAATCTCAAATATAAACACAGCTGTATACATACATAGCTTCATTTACTGAAATATTTATTAAAACAAAGGAAATGTTTTATGACCTTTGCCACAAGATTCAGTGGGGTCATTGGCAGAAAATTGCTTTTCATTTTGATACAACTATCCTATAATAAGATATTTATTTATCAGGTTAGGTCGGGAGTTTGTGAAAATGTAATTACTTCTTTTGTTTGATCCTACTTGTAATCGTTTTGGAGTACGTATGTATGTATGTTTGTTTCTCTTTTAAGCAAAAACTATTAAATTGATTTTGATGAAACTTTGCAGTAATGTAGCGTAAACATCAGAATAGAATATAGGCTATAATTTATTTGGAAATTCTTTTTATAAGCTGTAGAATCAAGTCCTAACTGTTGTGTTTGTATGAAGTCATGTAACACAGACTATATATGACGCTGTCGGTTACCACACTTATGGTTTTAACGCAATTTGTACATTTCTCTAGGAGTCAAATTTTGAAATCCATGAGATCGTAGTTGCACTTGTAGAATAATAAAAATAATTATGTTCTAACCAATACTTCTCTATGTGAGTTATTACATATTTTTGTAGTTCCACATTCTCTATGACTTATTCTATTAACGTATGGGTTATCAATACCAAGGTTTTTTTTGTAAATCTTATATATCTGTGAAACGCTTATGAACCGTATCAAGAGCAATATCTGTATAAATGAGGCATTACTTCCAATTAAATACGATTCTATCGATAATCAATAGGAATTTATTATAACAATTATGTAGGAACATATGTTTAGTTTTTTGGACTTCGTATTATGTAGAAATAAATCTACAAACTGCAAAATAAGTACAAGTATCATAGTAATATAATATGTGAAATTCTTCCTAAAATTTTTATTATATATCCAACGAATATAAGCAATCCCAGTGTATTCGTAGACTCCAGTAAGTACCCCATATATCAGGGATGCTAAAGATTCCACAGAGGAAACTCAATGTATCTACGAGCCCTCCTAGCAGCACGAGTGAAATAAATAATCCGAGATAAAATATTCAAACGTTCGACAAAAATAGCTCTCTAAATACTAAGTCACATATAAATAGCAAAATTTTTTAAATTCTGTATCTAATGTAGAAAAATTTTCTATATGTTTTGTTTTATTTAATGATAATAGTAAACTCATATTTAAGCCAACTCTGCTTAAAGAAAATTTTTTTTACATCATCGACCAATATTAAGTCTAATTGTTTTATATTGACAGTTATATATTTTAATATGGATTGAGTAGAAGAAACCCGGGTGACACGCCTTGTTCAAATATTTACGAGTCTTGAAACTCGCAAACAAATTCACACAAAGAAATGATAAAAGGTGTCCGATAATATAAAAATATGTTGAATTTTATATTCATATACATAAGTTACATTTCTTTTCTTACCTTTTAAGGTATAAAGATAGAATGGACAGAAGTAATATATGCCGCAGAATCTTGACAAACATAAGAATGTATCTTTAAAGAATTCATTAGTTTTGGGTAAACATATGTATTTCATATTAAATTACACAAGCCAACATAGTATAGTACAATCTTTTTACAAAGTATACAAGAATAATTTATTGAATATAATTCCAACATCACCTATTTATTCATACTTGCAGTTTCACGTTTGAGCAAATTATGTATTTAATATACCTAAGCCCTATGAATAAAATGCTCCTAGTCTATGAAAATTCTTAAGTGGTGGCTTAATCCAATCAAATTACAGGTCGTAAAAGTTTAATGCCTGTTATATATGGACATCAGTCTGTACTATATTTTCTATATATGTATTTATACTATTTATACACGAATATCTATATATCTATATATGTACATATATCTCCTTATTACCTTTGCTCGAAAAAGTCATTGTCACATACAAGTATGGTATTTTTTATCTGATATTATTATAATTCTTTATAAAAAGGATTAATTTTTTTGCGTCTTTACGACGTTTTTGTTTGATTCTCCTCTTATATTACTTGTGGATTTTTCTATTATACAGAGATACCATTTAGCTTTCCTTGATATAAAGAAATTATCCTCTAAAATATTTCTTCATGTAATAAGTATCTTTAGATATCAGATTTTGCAGGACTCGTAAAAATTTTCACTAATTAGTAATAAAAATTACATATTTATATCGTTTATTCTTTTTAAAGAGAAAGTTTAATATCGTGATTCCTGGAATGGAAAGCAAGAAAAGTTTCTTACGAAATAAATGTATGTAGCTACAAAAAAAAATAGTTTTGTTCATACAATAACATCGAGGATAGTTGGCGCCGGTTCATCATTTCAGGCTGACTGTTTTTTTACTATAAGTCTTTATTTTATTGCTAAAGTTTTATGTCATGCTCGTATTTGGACTCGAGGTCGAAACACTGTTTAATTGGTCTGAACTCAAACAGAGGCGTGTTTTGATGCTCATGATTAACTACTTATATCCTCTGGAATCGATCACTATTTATATTAAATCAATATATAAATATTACTAACCAATATATAAATAGTATCAAATATACTCATACATTTTCAAATATATACTTATTATGGAGAAAAATAGTTTTTACATACGCAAAATTTTCACTTTTGTATTGAGATATAGAAATATCTTACCATTATATACGGTAACACATACACACACACACACACACACACACACACACACACACACATTTGTATATATGTATTCATCTTTCAATATGACTTGTTTTTAATATACAGGGTGACTGGTGAATTACTATCGATACTTGAGGACGTGATATTTGACGATCATATATGACAAAATAAAAATTAATATAACATAAATATTAATAAACTTCTAAGTAAAGTTAACCAAAAGTTATGTAATTAATTACCCATCGTGTGAACACCCTACAGATTAGGTATACACTCCACACACACACACGCGTAAGGCGGCGTTGTGTTGTATCAGCACGCCGCCGCACGCGTTCACACTTGGAACACTTGGAACGTGTCTACACTTTATTTATTTATCCGGAAATTTGGTCAAAAAATAAGTACCTATTTTTTTTACACAATTCGAATGAGAATCATGTACCGAGTATTCTCCTTAAATATTGATAGTAATTCACCAGTCACCCTGTATACACTCGTACATATATTATCCCACAGGGTCTTGTAAGTATTGCCTATATATTTAGCTTTTAATATACACATAGGTATAGAGGACATGATTTATATATCTTAAAGGCTGTGTCACTACTTACAGTGACGTATCATGTAAACATCTCAGGATGTGAGGATTTAGGATTGGTCTCGTGAAGATCGACTGCTTATTAAATATATTTATTATTTTATTTAAACCACACGTATATTTTTGGCTATTAATTCTATCTACTCATCCTTACTTGAGATTTGAATTATTGTATTCTGGTATATTACTACATAGGTAACAATGATTTAACTATCTCTTTTACATAATGTACTTAATCTTCCTTCCACTATAGATTAGGTTATAGAGTAACTTAGTGTTTTAAGATATATTTAAAGAAAAGTTCTAACGAAAATTTATATTCAACGACTATCAAATAATAATATTAATTATAATATTTTGTAATACATTGATCAGTTTAAAACTACACCTGTGATTAGTTGAACCGCAGTGTATGCTAAAAGTGTCATTATCATCGAATAAATTATTTAAACGTACCCAAATATTTAAGGTCTAAATTTTAAATACGATATAATTTTATGTTAAACATTGAGACTATACGATTTTCAATTTATTGTGGACCTTTTTGTAGAAATTAAATTATCAAGAATAGCCTTATATGTAATAAAAGTATGATATATATTTTATATCTATATATCGTATACGTATACCACGTGTATATAAAAAAAATGTTATTTTATTTATTTATTGTCCAAAAGATAAACAAAAGAAGAAATTAATTCTAAAACCACTCTCTACAAGTTAACCTTAAAGGATGTAAGGGTGATACAAAAACGTGTAGGTCGTATCAGGAAAGGAATAACAAAACCTTATTTAATTAAATTATTAACTTCGTTAAAATATTAATTTTGGTCTTAATTTTGTTTACTTCATATTAAAGTACCACTCACGTGACTAAGATGAATCTGTTCACAACTCATTAAAAATACGACAAGTCTTTTAGACTAATACTAATATATAGTTATCTCCAGTATTGGAATTTGTTAACTGTAATAATTAACAATCCCGTCATGTTGTGCATGCACCCTTAGGGTAATAATCTGTTCGATACTATTAATGTTTAAGAAATATTCTGTATGTGATTGTGACCTGTTGTGTTTGCCTTAATAAATAAATAAATAATACACGCAAACAGTTGAAGATAAAATTGCCTGATGCTTGTATCCTAAGTTACTATGGTCCAGACGTGCCTACGAAGAACAAAATCAAAACAATTAAAGTTAAATGTAACTAACATTTTCGGATTACTACGCGTTTATTATTTTAAACTACATTCTCCCCTCGTTTCGATTACTTTGCATTTTCATCTCTTGCGTATGAGATCTCTGTTGCCGCAAAGTAACTGAAAAATCAGAAGTATGTAGTTGTATACGTAATAAAATAAAACGCCTAGTTATCCAAAATTTGGAATAACAAAAGTGACAAGAAACTTCTCGTGACATTACGAGTTACCCGTTTATTTTTAGGTATTTTTCTTCTGGTATATCTATGTAATGTCTTTGCAGATAAAATCAAGAAGAAGTATGGGTCATTGGGTGACAGCGTGGTGGTCGTCAAATTGGAGAGGACCCCGAAGGCTGGTCTGGGACTCAGTTTAGCTGGTCATAGAGACAGAAGCCGAATGGCTGTGTTCATATGCGGCTTAAACCCAGCCGGCGCAGCGGCTAAGTCATCACCACCCATTAAAGTTGGCGATGAGATATTAGAGGTGATTTAAACTTATCATATTTAAATTTAAATCTATATTAAGTTACTATCTTTATTTTTAGTGAATAATTGAATATTTTGATTTGACATTAACATATGTCAAAACCGGCTAAGGTTGTTTTTTATGTATTTTATTTATGAAAAATTAGATACGTATAAATTCGTCTAGACCATTTAAATGAAATCCAACTTCATTGTTTCTCACATTTCTTACAAAGGTATAAATATTTAGATAGATTGCTCATTACTTACAACTTCATTACTACGTAGCAAAGGGTGGAATAATATTCCAACGCTATCAGAGTCAATATACGTGTATTGCTTCTGGTTTTTGTATAAACGTTATTTTATTGATCTTCCAATATTCGCACCACTAGATCTCAATTTTGTATCAAAATGTGTGACAAAATTAAACAATATATTTATGCTTGCAACTAGGCCATTATCTTTAGTTATGGTTGCTTTTAAATAAAGTTCACTGTTACAATGTTAACGAGAGCGTAAGAAAGTATTTTGATGTTAAAATGACTGTTTCTTAAGTCATTTATTTAGATATTTATTTGAGTTAATAAATATATTTTCTAAAGTTTTTCTACAATTGTTGACTTAAAAATCTCGAAGAGTACAACCACTAGTAGGTTTAAGAAGAGCCCTTCATATACTGCTTAGTCTTCGAAGATCGAGAGAGGAAAATTTTATACTTATTTATGGCATTTCAATATTAGTGATAACATGTTGAAAAAATCTTCATTTATATTTCAATTCCTTTCATAGATAACAATAAAATGAATTATCTAAAAAAATCACTGATTATTACAATTGCCTATTTCGTACAGGTTCTTAAATTAGTCTAATATAAATTAAAATAAATTAAGTATTATGGGATATTATTACTTACGTGATCAATGAGAGATTTAGTTTTTTGTAAAGCCTTACATAGATAAGAATAGTCCAGATTCTGTAATATTTTAATTCTTTTAACATATTTTAAAAGTTATTTATTTCAGTATAACACATATTAGGTTTTTGTTCAGAACATTTCTCTCAACAACAACTCTCTATATGGGCAGTCTAGTATGAAAAGAAAATAGAAAACAAAAATACATTTAAGGGTATATTTTCCATCAAATCATGTTGTTGGCAACTTTACTTTTTTCTATTAGGTCAAAAGTAAAGGGTAGCACACATTAATACGTAAATATGATTTTAATTAAAAGTCATGGCGTTTTTCAATAAAATTATTTGTTTTTACTCATTAGTTTATTTTCTAATGCTTACAAAAATATATTTTCCATAAACCAAAATATTAAATTCAGTCTAAAAGCAGGATAACATCGAAAATCAATCTCTTCAAACAAGCCGTTATGCCAAATCCTAACTTATGGTATTTGGAAGTCTGCCAGAAACACGATAGAGACGCTAGAACAAGACAGATTGAACGAATGAATGAATGATGTTGACATAACGAACTGATAATACTAGTTTTTCAGTCTGACTATAAAACTAGCTTAGTCTAGACTGAGCAAAAAACGTGGCTATTTATACAACACATCGCCCGCAGATTTTAGATCTCAAGTCTGAGTCTTTATTCCAAGTTTATTTAGAGTTTAGTATATAAAAATGAATTGAGGACAAAATATAAACAAGCGAAATGAACTGTTATATAGCACACAATCAAAACTTTCGCGAACAGTAAAAAAACAGGATGTTCCTGCAATTATTGTTTTACAACATATTTATTTTTAAGCATTGTGGTGAAACAATGTACTTTTAATGTTACGAATTATGTCCCTGGTTGTATTTAAGAAGAAAAATTTTACAATAATCAGTATGCTTAAGTTTTTTGTCATATATTGTTTCTATTAAAACAAGTCTTTCAAACGTATAATTTACTTCAAATATTTCTGCATATGAATTCTGAAATGTTCGTAAATAAAACTGTTCTAAATCCAATATATTTGTAATTTTACATCTTTAATATTAGCTCAATTTGATTAAATAGACTATAGGAATTAATTAATTAGGCGGTTGCTCAAAAATAAGCAAACTCCATAATGTTTATCAAGTGATTCACAATCGAACAATTATGTGCATTGCATTACGGATTACTGATCTCTTGAACTGAATTGGATCCCAGCCAACATCGAGGCGTGTGGTCTAATATGACCTCTGTAACCTCTATACGCATTTGATAATCACCAACCCTTTATAACTTCATATATATATATATATATATATATATATATATATATATATATATATATATATGGATATTAACTATTCATTCATTTGTTTTCCTATCTTAAAATAGGTATAGCATTTAGCCAAACATTGTAATCCCTACTAATATTATAAATGCAAAAGTAACTCTGTCTATCTGTCTGTCTGTTACGCTTTCACGCCTAAACCACTGAGCTGATTTTAATGAAATTTGGTACAGAGATAGAGTTGACCTTGAAAGAACATAGGATAGTTTTTATCCCAGACTTTTGAAAGGTTCTCTTGGAAACGCGATATAACCGAACTCCACGCGGGCGAAGCAGCGGGCGGAAATCTAGTTTGTCATATATTCTAAAACATATATTATCTCGTAATGTTCATTATTTTTGTTTCTAATTCCTATATAATTTTTCAGCCTAACTATAATCTTGTATATTATAAATATTTCCGCTACCTTCTATTATTTGACCCAGAAATGGCTATAAATTGGTCCGGGAACTAGTTCAATATACTATTCTTGTTTAACGAACGTGATTGAAACATTACTTAGAGCATGCGCACGCGCAAATTGTTGTAGTATACAATACAGAATACTCGGAATATATAAATTAAATCAGAAATGTATTCTATGGTAAACTATTTGCACTGTATTTAAGCGACTAAGACTACTGATTGTATTTGTATTCTGGGAAGTAGTAATTTGTGTTTTGTGTATTGGTTTTGTACATAAAATAAGCTTTAAATTTATTTTAGATATACAAAATATTAAAATGAGACTATAGTATGTATCTATAAGATTATATCCCTATTTTTCTCTTTCGAATTATATACATTTAAAATGTAAGTTATATTTTAAATAAATTCGGATAGTGTCTTTTTAATTAACATCAAGTTTACCTATCCATGCACTACAACGAAATTCAAATAGCAATTTGCAATATTAAGTCAAAAATTCTATCAAATTAGCTTCCATTATTGTATTTAATTAAGCGTTTGTTATTTTCGTATTATAATTAATTCTTTCTATCCGTTTTTCCTTTCGTATTTTTTCCTTAATCAGTTCATATAAATCTCTTTTATCCGCTGACTTTATTTTATCGTTGTCATTTGTCTCATTGTAATTGTTGGATCGGGAAATCTGTTTTGAGTTTTTGTGTTTATTTGAATATATATTGCAGGATCTTTTTCAAATAAATTTATTATAATATTGAGAGCATTTGGAAAAGATTTTTTCTCTATACTATTGATTTAATTGTAACAAAATAGTTTTTGAAGAAACATATAATATGAACATAAAGACTGGAGAGTAGGTAATAAAAAGTAAGGAAGTTCATTTATAAATTGTTATAAAGAATTACCTTAGATACATAAAATTTAATTTATCATATTTCTACAAAAAAAATCATTAATTTTGTATACAAAGCATGAACCAAATTTAAACTTAGATAAATTACTGTAGACTAAATTAGACTACGCCTATTTCCTCGCCTAATGAAGACACAATCTATAGCTTGTTAGATCTATCTATAGTTAGACCTATATATAAACATGTAACTATGAAATAAAGTTTTGATTTACATTTACAGGTGAACGGTATTGTTTTACACGGGAGATGTCATTTGAACGCGTCTGCAATTATCAAAGGACTTGTTGGACCTGTCTTCAAAATCATATTACTGAGGTATATATAATAAAAACATTTACCTAAAATATTTCCAATATATACAGGGTGACTGGTGAATTACTATCAATATTTAAGGAGAATACTCGGTACATAATTCTCATTCGAATTATGTAAAAAAAATAGGTACTTAATTTTTGACTAAATTTCCGTATATAAATAAATAAAGTGTGGACACGTTCCAAGTGTTCCAAGTGTGGACGCGTGCGGCGGCGTGCTGATACAACACCACGCCGCCTTACGCGTGTGTGTGTGTGTGTATACCTAATCTGTAGGGTGTTCACACGATGCGTAATTAATTACATAACTTTTGGTTAACTTTACTCAGAAGTTTATTAATATTTATGTTATATTAATTTTTATTTTGTCATATATGATCGTCAAATATCACGTCCTCAAGTATCGATAGTAATTCACCAGTCACTCTGTATACTTATAAGTTAGAATTATAAGACTCTAGAAGTTTCTAGGATATTGAATCTTAAAATAACTTTGATTTTACTTTTTTCAATTGGAAAATACGTTTTAATTGAATTTATTTTAACGTCATGCAATTTTCTTTCATAAACCGTAACGAAAACGAAGTTGTTATTTGTATGTTCATCTGACACAGGGTCAAAAATTTTCATATAAGTACATAATTTTTAACATAATATTAATAAGAATTTCCCTATTCCCACCCTTTCCTGGCTCCTTCCCATTCCTTTCCTTGTTCCTCAAAAATCAAGGTTGGCAACGCATCAGCAACATCTATTAAGATCCATATGTCCACGAGCTATGGTAACTACTACCCATCAAGTAGGCCGTCTGCTCGATTGCCACCTTTTTTATACCGAAAAAAATCTAAAAAATGTCTTAAAGATTTCATTTTACGTTAAATTACTACCTTATTTAATAAGTCATATATGTGTGTAAACAAAAAACACCTAAACTGACTATAATATATAACGAGTACTTGACAAAGACAGTTAATTCGTTGTTATGGCCCTATATCATATAACATATAAAATATATTAAGAGGATAAAAGATCGTTTAAGCTTCACCCGGATATTATTAATATGGATGAGATAAAATAATATTTGTACGTATATAAATACAGTGAAAATATTTGTTCTTATTAAAACACACATTTTTTAATATTTGAAGGCAACTATATACATATATATATATTGAAGATATATTAAAAAAAATCGTATATTTCATCAAAATAATTCATGATATTGAATTTTTAGTAAAAATGTCATAAAATTTAAAATTATTTTAATTAAAAAAGTAAAGTCTCATTGGACATATTAACTTGTTTGAAACAAATATTTCGATTTAATAAAAGTATAATATAAATTTATTATTTTAAAAGATATCTTTAATTAACCCATTAATAATTCAACAAAACATGTATAAGTATATATGTATGTATATTGTATAACTAGTTTATCCTTTAATTTTACTCGCATATATATTTTTCAATATACCTCTATTTAATAGAAAAATATATCTATATAAATTAAAATAAATTTTTAACCTCAGAGTATATGAGAAATATTTTTTCATCACAATTTTACATTCCCATTCTACAAGAGCTGTCACGTCCACGTATTTTAATTCTTTGTTCCAAATAAAAGACAGATGTTGTCGTTTCCCTCTCAGTTTTTTTTCATTCTCAAAGGATTTCTTTATTTGTTTATAAAGAAATTTTCTCTATTTTTACAATTTAATGTAAGAAATAAATGAATTTTTAAGCTGTTCTAACTTTTGTTTGACTTTAAAATTTAAATGAATATCTCGTCTGTACGTGATCACGGTTGCTGAAAAGTAACCGAAACGTCCGGAGTATGTAGTTAAAATAATAAAAAACGCGTGGTTATAAGAAAATATTAGTTTCATTTAAATGAATACTCGCGAAAGTCTTAGATCTCATTTTGACTTTAAAATTTGTTGACTATGGGATGTATTAATTTTAGAAAAAGTACTATTGTTTTTGTATTCTTGATTATTCTATTGTTTTTATAATACTGTATTTATTTGCAGACGTAAATCAGCGTTGGAAGATGTAGCTGTGAAGCCTTTAACTCAATTTCCAGTAGCACTAGATGAAGAGGTAAGTAAACTACATATATACATACATATATGACTTAGTTTGGCCTCGTGGTTAAAAGTCCCACCTCTCATGCATGAGGGCACAGGTTCGATCCTGGCAAGTACTAATATGATTTTTCCGAGTCATATGTACTTTCTAAGAGTATTTAGACATCACTGATTAATGCATTCCCAAAGAGGATTGATGTCAGGCAGGCAGCAGTAAAAACAAGTAGCCAAAACCTATTCATAAATAGACCCTGGCTAAAGCTGGGAAATTGCCAGATAGAAGAAGAAGAAGATAAGCTAGCTAGCTAAAATTACTTTACTTTATTTACTAAGCAATAAAATGACATCAAAATTTAATATATCCGGGATTTATTTTTCAATACGAAACTGAAGGATATATAAATGTAATAGGATTTTCTTTTATCGAGTCCTAGTCAGTAATTTTGTATGACATAATAATTATCTTAAACAATCATTATCGTAAGTATAAGTAATTTTACTTTTCCATATATTTAATCTTACGAATTTACGATTATATTTATTAAGTAGGTTGAATAATCGTGACAATATGGGAAGGAATAGAAATGTGTAGATGTACACTACAGACATAGTGTACTTAAAAATCATGAAACAAAAATGTATAGTTAAAACAATATATAAATTAAAATAATTAATTATTATCAAAAGAAATGTGCATATGACGTCATAGCTCAGGAATATTAAGTCTTGATAATCCATAAGACTATTAAAATCGTAATATTTAACACCATACAGACTTAATAAAAGAGTTTTTATATGGAGCACGTCAATATATCTTTTGGGTACATACATTTAATGTTATCTAGAAATTGTCTTTACTTGTTTCGACTTCATAATAATATTAAAAAGTTGAAAAAACATTAAAATCTAGCAAAGGATGTACTAAGTTTCAAAAATGTTCAGTGTAATTTATACGATTTAGAAAGAATTCATTTATTTATTGCCATAATCTCTTATTAAAGTTAATATAAGTTATATCTCTTTTTATATAAAATAAAGTCGTGTTAGTTACACTATTTATAACTCAATAACGGCTGTACGGGTTTGGGTGAAAATTGGTGGAAAGGTAGCTTAGAACAAGGGAAAGTACATAAGATACTTTTCATCCGTTTGAAAACGACAAAAAAAATTTATCAAATCCAAAATCTTCTTATCCACTGTCTTTAAGGAAGAATAGAGTTCACCCGGTCTATATATTTATAATTCTGAAACTAAAACAGACGAAGTCGCGGGCACAAACTAGCGTATATATGCTATTTTTGGTTGTCCCAAATCCGGTAATTTCGTATGGAGGCGACAGTTAAGTTAGTCCATAGCGTTTCAAACGCGAAGCCATCATAATATTATTAAAGGAACATATTATATTATTGTTTACTAGTCGACGACCTTGTAGTTGTTATATCTCGTTCGCACACGAGAGTTTTGTGATTTCCTAGCGGTTTTCCTATTATATAACAGAACGAAAATGAACCGAATATCATATAACACAGAGATCAAATTTAATTGCTGTATAATTTTTCAGTGTTTATCTTTGACTTGTTGTTAATAAGGTCGTATGTGAGTCATTAGTGCGTACTAATTTGCATCTTGTATTATTATAATAGAGTCGAATTTGCATTGATGAGGTATGTGTATATAGGTTTTGAATCCGGGCCGATCTGTTATGTTATCTTACATTTAGCAATGTCATACAAATCATACATATAGCTAGTACGAAGACGGCGTTGCTCGTGAGCGATGCGTGTATGAAAATAATTCAATTAAACTTATAATTAATTATAATTATATTAATTGTATTAATTGTGTATAAACCAGTGAGTTCAATAAACTTTGTTTCAGTGTAATAAAGTGTTACTAAGGAGTTGAAATTCTCATTGGAATTTAATCTTGTGCATAACCTATGTTGATATAAGTGCAAGTTTAAATATCAAATACGCTTGTTATTTTGACATAATATTAAAACTATAACGATACTCAAAATAGAATTAAACAGGAAGTTCTTATGTAAATTGAATTTTATAAATAGTTCAAAGAAACTGTGTAGTGGGTATGAGAAGTGAAATAAAACGAGATTCTAAAAGACTTAATGTAAAAATCAGTATATTCTAATATTTTAAAACACTATTGTATATAAAGAATCCTAATCATATAAATTTATATATTTCTAATCACATATTAGTACATAAAAATATAAATGAGATATTTCTCTTAAAGATTTATCTTAAGACTAATAAAAATTTATCGTCGGATTTATTGTCGCTATCTTAAACGGAAATATTTGTATATTGATCATAATATACGTTAGGAGATAAAAGTGTTTATTCACTAACATAACGTGAGCATAAGGTTGGTTTACATTACATGTGAGGTAGCGAAAATGTAATAAAATTAACAAAATATATTCATAGTTTTGTATACAATGCAAATAATATTGAAACAGATCTTTAATGAAAACGCTGCCTAACATTATTTAGCGTATTTGAACAGATGTTCCATCTCTCTCATTCTCTATATACCCGTCTCTTTCTAATATTTTTTAGTAACAATTTCGTTATTACTCAGTATTGCAACCGGATTTTGACCTAAATAATATGAAGCTTGGTACCAGATGTAGACTCAGAAACTCAATATATTGCACTAGTAAGCTGATAAGGGCTTAGAAAATACGTGTTCCTTATTTTCTATATCACAACTTATTTAATTAATTAATTAATTAAATAATATTTAACCCTTTCAGACCTGAATTATTTTTTTTGTGTCCAATGAATCTAAAAAAAAAATGAAGCTAGAGTAGAGTAAAAAGACTAAGGAAAAAATTATGAAAAAAATCCTGGTTGTCAGGTTTTTAAGAAAATAACGTTTTTCTTTTTGTGTACAAATGTGCACATCCGTCTTACGTAATGATAAGACTGCTGTTAGGGGCTTTTCATTGGAATTATAAAAAGTTTAATTTCTCAATGTTTTTAATAGGAAATAAAAACTAACAAAACTTAAGTACAGTTCTTATAATTATTAGCAAAAAAAAAGATTTTTCTATAAGATAGGCAGCTAATTGGAACATAGGTAAATTAGTCATTTGAACATTCAAAAAGCATGTTTCATAAATTTACGTATGAAATGCTAAGAAACAGTTTTTATCTTTGGTAAGGCAAAGGTGAACTTTGCATTGTATACATTTAATCCTGGTTCTTCCCTTGCATCCAACCATTTTGCACCGTGTCCCAAGTCCCTCATCATGTGCAGGAAAATGCCCAACACCGTTTTTTGCTAGATCCGCTACAGGGCGAATCTTTCCTGGTCTTCTTGGAATAATTTGTGGTATTGGGCTACTGCCACTGGGCCGTCCTCTTTTACCGATGATAATTTTATTCCTCAACACCAGACTTTCAGTTTATTCTTTGGTATGTCTAGCAGCGCATTGTCAGTTTGGTACTCTCGGTACGCCTGCACTACCGCTAAATCAGAAGCATAAAATATCATGTGAAGAGTCCATTTTTTACATTTCATGAAGGTTCTGTAGTAGCTCATGCGTTTATCTAATAGGTCAACTCCCCCCATTGCGTGATTGTATTTCCTGACTTCTGGGCGTTCAACGTCGATAAATTTCTTATCTTTCTTACACCACCTGCTGACTAAGTCTTTTTCACCAATACCAACAAAATTAGAAGCAAGATAGGTAATCTTATTATTGAGCCACTTGACCACAGTTACATCTTCGTCAAAACTACTTCTTGAGAAAATCCTCGAGGCTTTTTATTGTTGTTTAGGAGTTCCTTGTGTCTCCACCTAATGTTCTGTTTAGGCTTAATATTCTGAAGTATATTTTCATGAGAGGATTCTGTTTCTCTTGTCGGTGGTACTTCGAGAACCACTTCATCGCAGGTGTCAGTAACTCCTGGATCATTCGTTCTAATCCACAATGAGCTAGGCCCTTCATCTTCTTCAGGTTCGGGTGGGCATACCTCTCGTTGGTTTTGATTGATGACATCTGCACCTACTCTGACAGACTGCAACTCTCTTTCAGATGTAAATCCAAACGACTCTTCGTCATCAGACGATAGCTCCAAATCGGAAAAAGTTCCAGCGCATAGGGCTTTTAAAGCGTCTGGTGAAAACATATCGGTGTTTTTTTATGTGAAAATGTAAAAAAAATATTTTTTTTCAACATATAACATATATTTTATATAGCATAAACAACAACAACATTATTATTATAGTTACAAACATATTCAAAATAGATTTTGCAAATACAGCTAAAATGCTTCAGCAATCGTAAAAACATTGTTTACGCCTGATGTGTACATTTGTGTACAAATATAAAAATTGTGATAATTGATACAAAAGTAGAATAATAAACTCAAATTATATGTTACTTATGACCTTAGGAATATAACACATCAATTCATATTTTTGCAGTGCGCATATTTAGCTATTTCCTACTTTTTAGAAATAAAAATGACGAGCTTACCCACATCGGTCCAACTTCGGTCAGCCACTGATCGAATCATGTCGAAAAAGTCACAAAAAATGCTAAGAGATCGCGTTAATAGTATACATTTTTATAGTTTATAATGTGGACATTTGAATACAAGCGTTCTCAATTGCACTTGTAACGAAATAAATATAAATTTTTTGTATTATATTTTATGTGTACATTTGTGTACGTAGGGTCTGAAAGGGTTAAGTAGAAATTTTGAACAAAATCAGATAAATAAAACAACTTATTATTGAATAGAACTATTTCAAACTAGCACAAAATGAGGCCGTTCGTTGGTTATAAAAATAAATTGAATCAAAAGTGGAGTCAAAAGTGTAAAGGAATAAACCATAAGTGACCTAAAAGTGACCCAAAAGTGACCTAAAAGTGACTCGTAAGTGACCCGAAATTAACTGACCGCGGTTTATAAGATGCAATTAGTTATAAGATGCAGTAATGACTGTAATGACTGAACTTCGTCGACGTGATTCTGACACGTTTCAGAAGTCAACAACATTTTTTAGATCAATATGGAGACGAACTATATCGCTGAAGAAAAAAAAGGTGAGTTTGAAATAAATATATGGAGGTTAATTAATGAAATACTACATATATAAAACTTATGTACTTTGATTGTATGTATAAAAAAATTTTTTCTTTTTGATATAACTCTAAAAGTCCAACTCATTACAATGTATTTTGTATGAGAAAATATTAAATTTAGCTTTTAAATTAACGGACAAAACTGGGTATATAATCTAGCGTGTGATAAAAAAAAATTGTACATTTGAAGTCTTGTAAGTAACTGCTTATATTGTGAATTATTTCAATTAAATATACAAGTTGTTATCAAAAAAGAAATGAAGCTTTTTTGCAAATAGAAATAATGAATTACATTTAAATTTCATTTTAATTAGTATATGGGATAATAATTACATTAAAAATCATTTGAATTTTTATTGATCTTAAAATATGACAAGATTTCTTTAGTTGACACTTGTTTTGATTAAAATTAATACTTTTTAGTAGGTCTCATCATTTCTTTCTTCTAAATACATAAAATCTTTTAGCATGAAATACCCATGATATAAAGACTTAAAAAATATATAAAATTAGCTTTCCGTCCGCAGTTTCGCCCGCGTGGAGTTTGGTTATATCGCGTTTCCAAGAGAACCTTTCTAAAGTCTGGGATAAAAACTATCCTATGTTCTTTCTCAAAGTCAACTCTATCTCTGTACCAAGTTTCATTAAAATCAGTTCAGTGGTTTACGCGTAAAAGCGTAACAGACAGACAGACAGACAGAGTTACTTTTGCATTTATAATATTATTAGGGATAAAGCTTATTTCAACATACATATAGCTTATAATGTATTAACAATTTTCTCATATATATAATCGTATATTCTTTACAAAATCTTTGTAATAAATTTCAGTGTGTGACACCTTTTTCAATAACACGCATGACATAGCATCTAGACTTTAATTTAACACAAGATTTTACCTTCAATGTATGGCGTTTAATAATATATAAGAATACATTGAATTAATATATAAAATTAATGTATTTAATTAAAATTTGTTTTCAGTACAAATGAATATCAATATTGGAGATTTATATTAATAATATTCTCAACTAAATTCGTATATATTATTGTTATTTCGAAATTAGGTTTTAATTTCGAGGCTCGCAATTAAATAAACTTAAGTCACAATTTTTATTAATTTTAACTAAGTACCTATTAGTAAAAAATGGTAAATACTGTTTTGGAGAAAACTGGACATAAAGTAAATATCGCCTATTTTGTTAGAATTTCTCTAAAAATCTTTTACAGATACGCTATCTTGTACTTTTTTCTTTTACCTTTCTCGGCGTCTTTCTTTCTTCCTAGGAATGTATTAAATGAATAATTGTTTTCTAAAGGAAAATAAATTTACATACCTAGTTATTCAAATATATATGTACTATTTTCCTCACCTATGATAATTATGTTAAATGTACTGAATATTTCATTGAGTATACTTAATTTACGTATTGGTATCTTTCTCTCTCTCTCTCTCTCTCTCTCTCTCTCTGTCTGTCTTTTTCTCTCCCCCTCTCCCCGCCTCTTGTTTAACATTTAAGAACAAATAATCAAAAGTATCAAATAAGTATAATTTTATTTAAATTAAAATATGTATCAGAATCTGTGAATATTAATCCTACCCTACCCTGTTAACCCTACTAAGATTATAAATGCGAAAGTAACTCTGTCTGTCTGTTACGCTTTCCCGTCTAAACCACTGAACTAATTTTAATGAAATTTGGTACAGAGATAGAGTTGACTTTGAGAAAGAACATAGGATAGTTTTTATCCCAGACTTTTGAAAGGTTCTCTTGGAAACGCGATATAACCGAACTCCACGCGGGGAAACTGCGGACGGAAAGCTAGTCATAGAAAATTCGCAAACATTTTATCAGAATTTATGTTCTTGAAGTTCTATTTTAATGAGGAATGCTTCGAAGTACAAAATCTCGGAACTCCACTGCAACTCATAACATATTACCAGGAGATCATAACTCTATGAGAGTAATTTTTTACTATAGAATGATATCCATACTGAACAGATGTACATACATACGTTAAAATCTGTCCTTAAATATTTTTTTACTATATATATGTACCTATAAATTGGATTGAAACTATTTATTACGTATTATTCTTTCGCTTTAGGATTTAATATTCGAGTCTTTTAAAACTCATTTTTACTTTTAAATGTCATCAAGATCTAAAAATAGAATATCGAAAAAATATTTAACATATTGATATCGATCTTACTTTGAGAAAATTATTCATTAACATAAGTTATGTTTTTAGATAAAATTATTAGTCTATAAATTTAAATTCAAGGAATTTTTAAATTACTACCAAATTTTAAGGTGGCACTTCACTTGGCGTTTATTTGTTGTGTTCGGCCAAATAAGACCATGTGTGGTGGATTTGTTCGACTTTATTTGACATATTTGAACAAATAAGACACATACACAAATAAGCGGAAACGAATAAGACCTGTTGTTGGTACGCCAAGTGTGGATGTCGTGTTTGCGGTATTTGGACTACGTACAAATATTTGAACAAATACGGCGAATACGCAACGCCAAGTGAAGTGCCACCTTATATGACAGAGATAATGACATATAGGATTTTCAATATACATTTAAGTAATAATAAGTTTTTGAATACCTTCTACGCTTTTTTTATTATTCCATATACATTTTACGTATACAATCCTACCATACTTAAATACTTTATAAACTTGATATAGGGGAGAGTCGGATATATCGTACGACTTTTCACTTTAACTCAAATATTTCGACTATAACACGTCTTATAATAATTAATACATAATATGGAAAATAAAGTTTCATATTTTGGCTTCCTAAGAAGAAGAGAACAGATCCTTGCGATTATTCAAACATTGTTAAAAATGCTTTTTTATAGAGGCTTGCCACCGGTACGATTTAACCGACTAGTCGTTTTAATCGTACCCCTAAGTCTTTAAATCGTACCATGGGTGTTTAAGTCGTACCACTGAATGAAAGACATTAAAATTCTCAATCAAACTATTTATTTTTTAACTATTAGGTGAGTAATAAAACAACATTATTTATATCTTTTAGGTAATAGAAACATAATTTTTAACTCTTAGGTTATATAAAGGATCTATAAGCTTTCTCAGTAAAATAACATGATTATACTATGATAATGAGATCAATCAACATAACTAATGAAAATGAGACAAAAAAAAAAATACAGTAAACTATAATTATAAAGTAACAGTTAACAAGAATGTTATTTGTAATATAATTATTGTGCATATATCTTAATGGAAACAATCATGAGGCCTTAGGTAGTACTTACTATACGTACTTGCGGTAATACTATGGGTACTTGCGGTTGGTAGTCGGGTAAATCGTACCAGTACAATTTAACCAACTGCAAGTGGTACGATTAAACCAACTAAGGCATTTCTAAAACATAAGCAAATATCCGGCATAAACTCAAAACTTAGACACGCAACAAAAACCCCCAATAATCTAGTATACAATTGTGGAATAACTATAAACTGAATAACTATAGCTTACCTTGATTACGAGTTATCTCCTAACGAATGTACGACAATATTTATATTAATGCCTACAAAAAATGTTTTTCTTTTATTACGAGCACAGTTGTTAACTCACGTCGATTTAAACTAGTGAGTGAAGAGGGATGGTGCAGGGCCACGATTTGGCGTTGTCAGTGTAGAAAAAAATATTCAAATGGGAAATTTAGAAGTGGTACGATTTAAATGCTAGTACGATATAACCAACTCTCCCCTAATTCTTAAATTACTTTCAAAATCATCGCGATATTTATAACAAACCGGTTATTTATTTCTATACAAAAAAATAATACCACTATTCGTTTATTTTATTTTTATGTTAATAATTTTAAAAACAAACTAGCAAAAAACTGTCGTGTCACTTTGGAATATAAAATCTTTGAATCGTCGAATCTCTATATGTAGGTGAAATGTTGCATAGAAAAGAATCATTTAATGTACCAATTTTTATAGATTATTTTCCGTAGTGAAGAGTATTGTATATTTATTATTAATGCTATTGAAATCATTGCGTAAATATCCTCTAATAAAAATAACAACGCCCAAGCCCGCATATATGACAACAATTAGGCTTCAAGTTTTACGCGTTTATCCAAACCCGGTAATACTATAATTAAACTTATCGGTATTATTTTAAACGAAACTAATATTTTTCAGATGTACTACGCGATTTTGTTTGTGATAAAAACTAAATACTCCCAATGGGACATATTTAATTTTAAAATACATATTTACTTTTATAGAACAATCATATCTTTAAAAGATATAAATATGGATAATTTAAGATACTCTTAAGAAATATATTTAAATCAGTAGTGGCTTAGAGTTTAAAGGCTCGTTTCTCGTGTATGAGGGCGCGGGTTTGATCCTGACAAGTACCAATGAGATTTTTCCGAGTCAAAAAGGAAAATTAAATAGCAATATGAAAAAATTCCAAATATATTACAAAGAAAGTAACATTACATATATTTTGAGACTTTATTATTATTTATAATGTGTGTACTCAGCTGTTAAAGTGTCAGTTAAAATAAAAGAATTGTATTAATTAAAATATGTATATTCTATACATTTATAAGGTTGACTACCTTTAATGTTTTAATACTACGAGTTTATCACTACTGAATCAACACAAACAGTATAAAATTTAATTATTATGAAAACAATAAACTTACCTTTATATAAAACTAGTTTTTGCCCGTGACTTCATCCACGTTAATTTCGGTATAAGTATCATATGTATATCTGACCGGGCGAACTGTATTCCGCATTAGAGGCAGTAAATAACTAGATATTGGAGTTTATTAAGCTTTTTTGTGTATTTTGGTCTAACAAAATGAAATATCCTATGTTCGTCTCCTCATTCTAAGCTACCTCTTCACCAATTTTCAACCATATCCATACAGCCGTTTTGATTTATAAATAGTAAAAGTAACTAACACAGTTTTCTCTTATATATATAGATTTTGGCTTAAAAAGGCCTGATGTTCATAATAATGCATAGGTCTATATATGTCACAAGTGAAGCTATTTTCTCTCATTGTATAATGATTCAATTTCTCTTACCCTAAGAAGAGGCAATTCAACAATCTTTTCTCACTAGAGCCTCAAGTACTTACATCTCCAAATTTCAAGTTGATGAATTCTAAAGAAACAAACGATTATTTTGAAAGTAATTATAATAACAAAGACTTTTTTACTTTAATATAAAGAACAGTGATTATAATTCTATTCAAACAAAGAAGGTATGAGCCTAGAATTCTATATTTTGTAGTATAATAATGTCGAAAACAATATCACTATAAAATATTATAGAATTTTAAAGTTATGTAGTTGCAATTGACTTTATTGGATATATCTCAAGTGACCCTTAGCTGACTCTTTCGTCGGATCACTCGTTAATGATAGATCAATAATAATATATATATTTATCAATAATAAGAAAGTTAATTGATACTTTTAATTAGTCTGTCTGAGTGTTATCATTACTGTTTCCTGTAAAATATAAATCTAGTAATTATACGAGTATCGTCAACATCATTTGTATCATATTCGAGATTAATTTTCTGATTTGTCTCAATTATTTTTATATTTTGTACAAGCTAGATGTATAAAGATTATGTATGAATTTAATTTCATTCATTATATCAAATATATATATTTATAGTATATATGGTTTGTGTAAAAATTGAATCTGTCGTACTGTAAAAAATATAAGATTGAAAAAATATAGAAGTATTTATAAGACTTATCGTTAGCAAACTGGATTTCATATGAAAAATTTGCATCAAAATAGGTATATTCGTACAGACACAGAGAGACGACGACATCAAATTCATTACCACCCCTTTTTTGTCGGGATTTAATAATAAAAATAATTATGTATTTAAAAATATAAAACAATGTAATATCTTATGGAATATCGTCATCATCAGCCTATCACAGCCCACTGCTGAGCAAAGGCCTCTTTTCACATGGAGAAGGTTTGAGCATTAATCACCACGCTTGCTCAAGACGGTTGGTGATTTCAAACTTATAATTGTGAAATTATAAGTCCAGATATCCTCACGATGTTTTCCTTCACCGTATGTCAGTGATGTCTAAATACTCTTAGAAAGTTCATATGACTCGGAAAAATCACATTGGTACTTGCCAGGATCAAACCCTGCCCTCCTGCACGAGAGGTGGGCCCTTTAATAACTAGGCCACCACTGACTCTTATGGAATGTATATACGTTTATTTATACGCCTAAATAAAAGTATATAATATAAGCGTGGAACAATACATTTAATTCCGCATTTCATAAAAACGAAACTAAGTAAAAACTCCATAATTTTACAACCCGGATAAACATTTGATGTGAATTGTGCAGATAAAGTTAGAAGTTAAATGAAAAACTACAGACGTTATCTCGAATTAGATGTTATAAAAAACATATGGAGATTACAATTACTGTTATTTATATGGAAATTAGGATTTATATTTCATATTTTTCATCGTATTTTAACTCTCAAATATCTATATTTTAATCATTTTTTAAAAGATTAAAATCTAAAATTTATTCAGTGATTGATTATACTAAGATGTTGAAAGAATTTTTGTTAAGAATTACTATGTCTTTCATTATCCATTTATCCCATTTATATAAATTATTTTTTTATAACAGAGCACATTTTGTATGATATTGTACATAATCCAGCTCGAAACACTTAAATATTTCTTTATTTATTTCGGTAATCCAACAGTGCTTATAATAATGACATAGCAAAATATAACTAAACAATAATAAGTTCAATATAGTATTACACAGTCAAAATAAAAGTATATATGACATAAAATAAATGAAATTAAATAATTATTTTCTCAAAACATCAGTGTTATATATCTACAAATGATTTTTATTACAGTTTTAACATATACAAAGCAACAACCCTATATTTTCATACCTGCCTTCTATATAATTAATTTGAATCATTATTTTTCTCTTTTCAGGCGGACGATCGCTTCGCTGGTTACAAAGGAGTTCGAGATATAACTATAAAGAAGGTCGGTATAAATTATGTTAATATTATCACGTAATAGAAATGCATGGAGAATACTGTTTCTTACTAAGAATCTATTAATGATGCAAAACTTTATAGCTTCGTTGGTAAAGCGACTGAAAAAAATTATAATCATGATTTTAGGTTCGATTTCTACTCGTCTTATTTATTTATTTTTTCTAAATATTCTAAGTCATTGTATTGTATAATTATAAAACAATTCTATTAGAATACAAATAAAATTTCTACTATGATGTATTGGAATTTTGAGGGTAGCTTAAAAAATGTTTTCAATCTCAAACTATTGTGTGTAATCAATAAGCATATTAAGTATTCCCAAAGAGGGTTGATGTCAGGCAGGCGGCCGGTCGTAAATTAGCCAAATCTTTTCACAACATGTAAGGCAGACCCTGGCTGTAACTGGGAAATTGCCAGGTAGAAAAAATAAGTATATTAAGTGTTAAAAAATTGCAAGTTTGATAGTTGATTTATGTTTTCTCCAGGGTCCATCAGGTCTCGGTATAATGATTATCGAGGGTCGTCACACGGAGGCTGGGAGAGGCATCTTCGTTTCAGATCTCCAAGAGGGAAGCGCCGCCGAACAGGTATGTAACTTCCATTAAATTAACTAAAGCATTCATAATTTTTATGAGTTAACTAGAACTAAAGATTTGGATTTGAACATACATTTTAATTCTAAAAAATACTATATACGTTATAAATGAGTCAGTGGTGGCCTAGTGGTTAAAGGGTCCGCCTCTCGTTGCCGAGGGCGCGGGTCCAACCCTGGCAAGTACCAATGTGGTTTTTCGGAGTCATATGTACTTTCTGAGAGTATTTAGACACCATTGACTAATGAAGGAAAACATCGTGGGGATACATTGACTTATAATTTCAAATTATAAGTTTGAAATCGCCAACCCGTCTTGAGCAAGCGTGGTGATTAATGCTTAAATCTTCTCCATGTGAGAAAGAGGCCTTTGCTCAGCAGTGGGCTCTGATAGGCTGATGATAACGTTATAAATCCGAAATGTGTTCTTATTGAAACATTTCTTTTAAATAATTAATAAGTTTTTTTTTTGTAATTTTAATAAAGTAAACTGTTGATATATATTAAGTTCTTGTTCCAAATACATATAAGGCAGTTAGTAACTTATGTTTTAAAACTTTTGTAACAATTAATTACCATTAATTGTCTAAAAAAATTTAGTAAAAAATTCTTCTATATTACTTATTTATTAAGGTTTTCGTGAACGAGTAACAAATTTATGTATACTTATGATATTTTTTTATAAATTACAGGCCGGTTTAAACATCGGAGACATGATACTAGCAGTTAATAAAGATTCCTTAATCAGCGTCAGTTATGATGCAGTAAGTATAACAAAATATATGAAATAAAATCTCAATTATTTATACAAAATCAAATTCTGTATACAAATCTATAACGCACATTTACAATATATTAACTATTAATAATGACGTATTTAATAAATCATATATTTCATTACTACAAGCAGTGATATAAAATTATTTTACGATGAAACTGTTTACAAATAACTCATAAAGGTTATTTTTATTAGGCCGCAGCAAAACTGAAACAGACTGAAGGTGTAGTTGTATTGACAGTGTGCAGTCCGAATATGAAGGATCCGTCTGATAAAGCGGACGACGCTTCTGGTGCATCAGGTAAATAACTTTTAAAAGTTATTTAATTACTCAAAAAAGTTATTTTTATATGACGTATACAGATACAGATGCGTATACACTTTTACAGTATCTTTATATGTAGTTGGAATTGAATATATGTGTATAGTTTTTGTTATAAATTTTTTTAAGATATTATAAAAATCCTATGAAATATGAATAATATTAAAAAGTCAGTGGTAGCCTAGTGGTTAAAAGGCCCGCCTCTAATGCACGAGGGCGCGGGTTCGATCCTGGCAAGTACCAATGTGATTTTTCGCGAGTCATGTACTTTCTAAGAATATTTAGACATCACTGATTATTGCATTCCCAAAGAGGGTTGATGTCAGGCAGGTGGCAGGTCGTAAAAACAAATAGCCAAAACTATTCACAACATGTAATTCAGACCCTGGCTATAGCTGGGAAATTGTCAGGTAGAAGAAGAAGATTATAAAGCCTATATTTTAACAAATTTATTTTCTTAGGTAAAAACGATCCATCTCGTCCAACAACTCCAAAGCCAACACCTTCTCCAGTTAAAGGTAAATTATCAATTTTTTAATATACACATATTGGAAAATAATAATAAATCATAAAATTTAGATGAGGAAAACATATTTCATAAATGGGTTTTAATTGCATACATCGACCTATATATATACTTGTGAAATTGTGTTTCTTTTATATATCGTGTGATAAAATATATTGTAAAATATATGTATAAGAAATGAGGTCGTGATTAGAAAAAATTCTTGTTTTCCGAGTTTGTTTGGAAATATTTAAATGATTTTTACCTGTATATTTTGGAGGAACCTTTTTTTAAATTACTATACATAAGTTGTCAAATATTTTGTATACAAATCATTCATAAGAGAGTTTTCTAAACAGTCTATGTATAACGCAGTTTATTTTTTAATCCTGTATCATTATATAATATACCTAAGAAATTTAAATCTTTTACTTTATAGTAATATTTCAAATCTTTTAGTCCTTAATATGAACACAATCTTCCACTTTTAAAATTGATCATACTCGTCTTAGTAGATGAAATACTTTAATTTACGCTCTATGAATACGTGTACAAAGAAATCCACTCAATATTATACAAAAGGGAATAATTTCCGTCTAACCTTATTTCTTCCAATAAATTATCCTTTTCAATAGATATATATGATATTGGGCTATTATTTTTATTTCAGCTGAGCCCCCAGCAGATCCAGCGACTGCTGCTATTCGACCAAACACAGATACTGTTATCGAAGTTGCATCCAACGGAGAAGTATTGGGCTTCGCTTTACTAGGAGGCAGCGATACACTTATTAATGTAAGATTTACAATATTATGAAAAACTATATAACTCTTTTTCTTAATTTTATTTGTATAAAAATCTAAGTCAGTAGTGGCCTAGTGGTTAAAAGGCCTACCTCTCATGTATGAGGGCGCGGGTTCGATCCTGACCCTGGCAAGTACCAATGTGATTTTGCCGAGTCATATGTACTTTCTAAGAATATTTAGACATCACTGATTATTGCATTCCCAAAAGAAGGTTGATGTCGGGCAGGCGGCCGGTCGTAAAAACAATTAGCCAAAACTATTCACAGCATGTTAAGGCAGACCCTGGCTATAGCCGGAAAATTGCCAGGTAGAAGAAGAAAAATCTACTTAATATTCATTGACAATAATAAGTTCTTTGTGTCTGTAAGAAGGAATAGTTTTAAATTTAATTTGACTTAAGAATTGAATGCTTAAATGAAACTAATATTTTCAAATTTACTACGTGTTTTTTTTTTGACTATAAACTACATACTCCCGAAGTTTCGGTTACTTTACAATTACCGTGATCTGTAACAAATCGAACTGAATATATTAGTTTCATTTAAATGAGTACTCACGAAAATCTTAGATCTCATTAATTTAATGTTTTTTAATTAATAAAAGTTTAAATTGTTTGTAGTACATATATACAATTTATTTATTTGTTTTAATATTTTTTTTCAGGGTCCAGCGGCTGTAGTTCTAGAAGTATATAAGAATGGAGTAATAGCTAAAGATAATAGAATAAAAGTCGGCGATCAAATAAGAGATTGCAATAGCATAGTTATTAATAAAGATATGACACACGAGAGAATCTGTCTATCCATAAAACTAAAAGTACCTAAGGTAAAACAAATAATGTCATATTATATACAATAATTTAACTTAAAAATGAAGCTAATATGAGAAAATTTATCAATAATTTACAGAAGTATAACGCATGATATAGATATTTGTTTGAACTGTTACTTGTCTTTTAAATGATTTTTTTATGTAATAAATTTCCTCATAGCGTTGTTCGTATGAAATAAAGTTAAGAAAATAAGTGTTATTTTTATTATTTCAGTTAAGAATGACCATATACAGACCAGATCCTATACAATACGATGAAATAGAAGTTGAATTAACTAAAAAATCGGGACGACCATTAGGTCTCAACTGTGTTCAACCGATAGAAGGAAATGGGGCCTATATTGGGGAATTGGTAAGTTTGAGATTTTATTTATTATTTATACAATATTTGATACTACATTATTAAATTAATATTTTTATGGCAGATTAGAGTAAAATTTTGTGAATCTTTTACCTCTTTTATTTGTTAAGAAAACATTTGTAAGTAAACAAACACTTTAAAAGTATCTATGAATAAATTAAGTTTGTAAATTGAATAACAGCTTACTAACAATGTATTTTTGTCTAAATCAATTACGAAACGCTATTTAGACTGTTATAAAGACATATAAATCCAATGAATCAGAACTTATATCTGTTTGGTATATGAACATTAATGATTTTTTTTATTTTATAGAGAATAATATGAATAAATATTAATTACAGTTGCCGGGTTCAGCGGCTGAGGTTGACGGTCGTTTGCAAAGAGGTGACTTCATCGCATCAGTTGATGGTAAAGACGTATTCAACGCTGATTTCCTCACTATAGCGGCCGCATTGAAACTTAGCAACAACAAAACCACGATTAAAGTTAAAAGATTCAAAATTATACCGAGGTAATTTATATATTATATCAGTTCTCAGAATATTTTTTGTTAATCTCTTTCAATATCAAAACGAGTTTTTGTTCGAAATTATTATGTATGATCATAATTTGTGACGAATCTTGTTTTATTATTGAGTTATTTATTTTTTATAAAAAGTATGTACCTACTGTGAAATTTATTATTTTTATTTTTATGTATTAAAATATTTATATGTATAAATCTATATGATCTGTAGAGGAAAAAACATTTGGAAGATAAATTATGAGTGTTCTCATAGAAAGTTATTTTAATTTTTGTTCAAACATTAAACTTGTGATTCGAAATTATTGTTGATGTCATTTAGCAATAAGTAAAAAGCATTCAATAAAGGCCTTCTTATATTAGGGTTACGTTAAATGCAATGCTTTATAATGTTAAGTGACTAGACAATAAGTATATGTAGCGTGTCTTAAAATAACTTATCTGAGTAATTAAATAACTTATTTGAGTAATTAAATAACTTATTTGAGAAATTAATGAAATTAGCTTTATTTCCATCACTATGTTAAAGTATATTAAACAACAGTTCTGATAATAGAATAAAATAAAGCGAATTTTAAATAATGTTTTAATATATTTTAATTATAAAACAGATTAATTACTGTATTTCATTAGACGAATGTTTCAGTATTGATTTAGAACTGAAATTATTTATATTTAGGCCGAAACAACCCTTAATGAATAGAATGTAAATTCATTAGTTTTTTCAGTATTTTAGATGTATTTAGTTACTGGCAAGTTGCGTTATTATATTGAAATACAAAAATTTTGTTTTATGTTTTATATGTAGTTATTATCGACTATAATTTTGGAATATCATAATCATATATTGAATTAATATATTTGTTAATATATGTATGTTAAAACGTCACTTGCCATTTTGTTAAATAGTTTCTCATAGAAACTCTAGTCCAAAGTCATTTAAAGTATTCAATTTTTTTTTTATATATAAAATGCCTTTAAACTAGACCGTAATCAATTTGAATCCTGTAAAACAAAGCTAGATGTAGACTTTATAATAAGTACATAAATGTAAACATAATATTTTTACTAAAACATATTATTGTTATTAATTCAATTATATTAATTTCAGAGATTTTATTGTATATCTCAGTTTTATTTATCTATATGTATATGTATATTATTCTGTTATGTTATATAAAATTTCCTATTTCGTATATAGTAACATTATGTAAGTAGTTTTAGAGAGTATATTAGTGCGACTTGTACATAGAAAATCGCATACAAAGAAAAATGAAATGCGTAGAATTATTCTAAATCATTGTAAAGTGTACATTACGTAGCTTCGTGGAGTCTTTCAAGCGAATAGTGAATAGAAAATTGCATAACATTCGATTCTCAACCTTATTACATTTAGTTAAAGTAGATTTTAAAAAGGCAATGCGTTCTGGACGATTTAATCAAAAAAATATGTAGTTGAAATTGTTTTAGTCTTAAATGCTATAGAAAAATTATTAAATGAAAAATCATCGTGAATAAACTAAAATCAGATTGGGTTATGCATTCACGCACAAATACGAAACGTGTTTCTTTTTATTTATTTATAATATTTTAATAAATATATTTATAACCACTATTTAAATGGAATCACTAAATTTAATATTAGAAAAGGCCAACAATATACTTTTGCCATATTATTATAATTCAAGATAAAATTACAGAATTATTGAGTTGAGAAGTAATAAGTCTTCATTTAATACCTATCTTTCAATGGTTGCCAGAATCATCTCACATCTTATAATATAGTTAATTAGATAATTTAGTTAGTTACCTATAATTAAGATATAGAGTTTCAAATTTTCTAGTGAATTCTTACAACGTTTTACAATTTGTTTGAAATATTATACCAAATATTTAGTATGATATAGTAATTACGTAATAAACTGTGCGCTTTTTAATTCGTCTTTTAATTTGTATATTCTTTATACCTCATTTATTTTAAATCGGAATCCCTAATGAAAATTTATATCAAAAGATACTACGAGATTTTTATTTTTGATTATAAACTACATACTCCCGACGTTTCGGCTACTTTACACCCACAGTGATCATGGGCAGACGAGATGAAAGAAAAATATTAGTTTCATTTAAATGAATACTCGTGAAAATCTTAGATCACATTAGGATTTATATCAATTTTTAACTGTTCTAAATGAATCTGTTCATTTGAACTACTGTTTTTACTGCTTAACATTATCTAACACCTATTTCCGTGTTTCTTGCTTCGTTAAAATACTTCAAACCAGTTTTTTAATACATTCCATAATATTACACTACCTTTGGATTGTAGGATATAAGGATTTAAGATCAAAGGAGATATAACATATTATATCTTGTTTGTTATTATTTTTTTGAGGAAACATAATTCATTTTCTGTTAATAATAATAAGGGCCATTCATAAAGTACGTCACACTTTGATTTGGAGGAAAAGTATCACCGAAATGACAAGGGGCATGGGAAGTTCAAATGTTTTGTAACGTCACATTAAAAAAATACTTAAACGAAAAATTTGGATGTGATTTAAAAAATTTACGAACCTGTTCTATATTTATTTATTAATAGTCAGTGATGGCCTAATGGTTAAAGGGGCCCGCCTTACGAGCATGAGGGCGCAGTTCGATCCTGGCAAGTACCAACGTGATTTTTCCGAGTCATATGTACTTTATAAGAGTGTTTAGACATCACTGACTGATGAAGGAAAACATCCTGAGAAAACCTGGACTTATAATTATTTCACAATTATAAGTTTGAAATCACCAATCCGTCTTGAGCAAGCGTGGTGATTAATGCTCAAACCTTCACCATGTGAGAAGACGCTCTAATCACCAGTGGGCTATGATAGGCTGATGACCTATATTTATTAATAACTAAGCATTCTCGCAATGGTTTATTCTCTTATGCAACGCTATTTAACTTTCAGAGCGGCGTTGTAATGCAAGTAAGACACTCAAATTCACGAGAATTTTGAATGGTAATTTAAAAACGTTTCATGAAATTTAAGACTATGTTGATTTTATTTTATTATTATTTAACATAAAGAAGTAAAAATTAAAATAGCTGTTTTCCCTCGACTATTTGTAATACATACTTAAATATTAAAAAATGTATGACGTCACATCAAGAGGGGTATAATAAAAATTTGGCAATATATGACAAGAACGGGGAAGGTTCAAAGGTCCTATAATTCTTGTGAAGTTTTTAATAGATGGCCCCTAAGTTATAAATAAAACTGATATTTCACTCATAAGAAATATGTTATTATCCTTTGGTAGTATTATAAATTTAATGTCAAAACAAATACCAAGAAAAGATTTCCACTAATTTCCACTGGTAAAAATATTTAACTACAACATTATCTTCATTTGTTATATATTTTCAGATAATGAATGCTACCAAATGTACCAGAAACCAGATCATAATATATTCGTGAGAAGTTTTTTTACTATTATTAAGCAATTAACTAATAAGTTATACAATAAATGTTTATGTAATAACTAGATTTAAATAACCCTTTCTTACGAAGAAAATAAAAGTTTATAGATAAGATACATGGTCTATTTATATAACGCTTTATATCCAAGAAGATTATATTAAGATTCAGGATATAACTTAATTCGAAGGGCTAAAAAAACTGCTCACTTAAGTGTTTTTAAAACGAAAATAAATGAAAACATAATATAATTCTGATAAATTTATTTTCTTTATAATTATTCTGTAATGGTTATTCTATAATATATCGAAACTTAAAATAAACAGATCGATATTTTTATAATTTCTCAATTTGGGACACACTGGGTTTATTCAAAATAGTCAAGGGTGATCTTAAAATAGTTTAAATTATTGTGACTAGACATAGTTGTTCAATTAAGCACACATTGATCACATATTAAAGGTACATCGTTTGAGCAAATACTGATTTATAAAGGCGTATAATATTTATTATATAATTTTTAATAATAGATTTTTTATATTTATTTTCTTAAATATAGTAACTTTTTCCATTCGTCAGTCGATAGTCAAGTTATTTTTGTCAAAACGTCAATAAATATATCGTATAAGTCGCAAAAATAGACTTAATTTTTTTCATGTCCATTGTGAATTATCACGTTATTTAGTCAAGTTAAATTATTTAATTATATTCTCATAGTTTTTCTTCCGAACTCTTCCTTATAACTAGCGGCTTTAACCTGCTTCTTAATTTAACTAATCTTTTGCTAACTTTGTCCGTTGTAACTGGGTTTCTCAAATCTGGCATAGATTTGCTCTCGTGTACTGCCAAATTTTCCACTGATTTCGACATGCCGTAATATCTGGGCATGCTGAAATCGTTTTGTAGGAGCATAGCTGACTGTTGTTTAATACTTTGCAAGCTAGTTTCCCCTTTATACTCTGTTAGTGAAGGACTATCAGCGAAGAATCTTGGTAAATTATTGCTTTTTATGATAGGAGTGTCTGGTAATGAGCTAAGTTTTAGTTCACTATCAGCCAAACTCGGAACTCCTACTGTAGATTTGCTTTTAGTCAATGGAGGTTTTTCTGGCGCGAGATGTGCTGGTATGTTCAAGAAAGACGCGCTTCTATGGGGAACCCTTGCTAATACTTTGTTAATTTTATTCGGATCTATATTCTTTAGACTCTCAACTCTATTTAGCATCGGTTTAATTAATTTTCCATTGCTATCTACTCGTTCTAGTGTTTTTGTGCTATTCGTTCTTAGTATGCTTTTGACGCTTTCTATTTTTGGTAGTGTTAGATTAGATGGGACGACTAATGCAGATATTGGATCATATTCGTATATAGTGTGCGGAGAAGTTATTTTTCTTTCTCCCTTGATAGTCACAGTACTTGGTTTGACTACATCCTGTTTCTTGACCGCCACATTCATTGTAAGTCCTTCTTCTTCAGGACTTCTTTCTTCTTCTTCCTCTTCTATCTTGAACATATCGTAGTTCGCTAGAAGTTCATCTTTGAACATAATTTCGAAGTCAGTAACGGGTGAATCAACTTCATCTTCGAAGTACACTTTCGTTCTATTCGGTTTATCTGATAGATAGTCCGGTTCGGATTTAGTTTCTAACTCGTCTAAAGTTTCCGTACTGCCTTTTTTTAATTCGTATTCGTCTCTAAATATAAGTGATTTAGAGAATACCTGAAAGAATTTTGTATATTTAATATACAGTCATATATTATTCATTTGGGATATCAAAATTCCATTTTCTGCTATCTGATAAAATAAGTATGGCTTTACAATATTTTGATATCAATATTCAAGTGCTCTCTCAATGAGGTCAAATCAAGAACATTTTTGAAACAAAACGAATTTATACTGAAGTATAATCCAAAGTTGGTAATAATTAAAAAATCAATTGCTGCTAATCTGTGGCGTTAAAATGAGGAACGTATTTTAGAAATGATTTGATTTTCTTATTATCTGTAACTTGACAATTATTAAATGAAACTAATATTTTCGAATTGTATACTACGCGTTATTAATTTTTTTTAAACTATATATTACTCCCGACGTTTCGATTACTTTTCAGCAAACGTGAATACGGACAGACATCTTGTTTATAAAAACGCATAATAATCCGAAAATATTAGTTTCATTTAAATGAATACTCCCGAAAGTCTAACATCATTTTTAGTCTAAGTTCTTAAACTTCTACAGTTTAGCATCTTGTTATTTTGTCACGAATACCCCAAATTTTCTATACATAGTAGATATCATATCCCATACCTCATAAAGTTTATCAGCATGTAGTGGCAATTCATTCACTTCTCTCCCAGTAACCATTCTTTGGGGCAGATGATTATTATTGATGGGCTGTGATGTTACCACGCTGTCCAAACTAGCGCCCATATTAGCGTAGCCGTTTGAAGGTTTATCGTCTTCTAAACTGGAAATATTTAGCATAAATTTAGTAACAGACAAAAAGGAAAAAGTATAATAATCTTTATACAGGGTGACTGGTGAATTACTATCGATATTTGAGGACGTGATATTTGACGATCATATATGACAAAATAAAAATTAATATAACATAAATATTAATAAACTTCTAAGTAAAGTTAACCAAAAGTTATGTAATTAATTATGCATCGTGTGAACACCCTACAGATTAGGTATACACTGACACTCACACATACGCATGTCGTGACGTGGTGTTGTATCAACACGTCGCCGCACGCGTCCACACTTGAACACTTGGAACGTGTCAACACTTTACTTATTTATACGGAAATTTTGTCAAAAATTAAGTGCCTATTTTTTTTACATAATTCGAATGAGAATCATGTACCGAGTATGCTCCTTAAATATTGATAGTAATTCAACAGTCACCCTGTATATAAAGTCGTATTAGTTACACTATTTATAACTCATAACTGTACGGGTGTGGCTGAAAATTGGTGGAAAGATAGCTTAGAACAAGTGAAAGGATTTAGGATACTTTTAATTCGATCGAAAAAGAAAAAATAAAAAGTTGATAAAATCCAAAATCTTGTTATCTACTGTTTTTTAGGGGGGGAATAGAGTTCGCCTGGTCAGCTATACATTTCTAATTGTGACACTAACGCAGACGAAGCTACGGGCAAAAACTAGTGTATAATAATAGTAATCACTGATTTATTATATCAATAAGTTGAAGTAAATATCAGTTAAATTTTTGCGATTTTTCAAAACAACAAAATCAACAAGATCAACAAAATTAAATCAAATATATTTAAAAACCAAACATTTTTTGTTATGTATGGCAATGATTACAATAATGTAACTAATTTGATCGCTCACTTAACAAAAAGAAACCTAAAATAAAAACCTTTTGTAAATTAAGTTAAACTGAACTTGTAATAAAATTACATCCTCACAAATGCAGTACGATTTTGCTTCGTCGATTTTCAAGACGTCATTAAAGTAATACATAAAATACACAAAATGATTAACGTTAAATAACAATATAGGTAAAGTAAACGATTGATAGATACAGCCTTGTACGTATGTCAACAGAAATTTAATATGAACATAGTAATAACAGGTAATATCTATATAATTACAACTTTATCTACTGATAATAGGACTATTGTAAATAAGCTATATTGCTTTAGTGAATCCCCAACATATGTTTATTAACTGTATATATATAAGAAATAATTATAGTATTTTATTTGAATTATTTAAAACAACTTCTCTTTTCCTGAGCGTATTTTTTTATAAAGACTGACTTAATATATAGTTTTAAAATTTGTCTTTTTTATTTATTGAAGATTTAATTCATGAAATTTGAATACAAATAGCTCTGTTAATGTTAAATCCTTTGTGAGTATATAGAAAAATTTAAATAAGTTTACAAAATTCCATACAAATACAATGTATACATGTAAAATCCGTGTAAGCCTGCTATAAAAGTCTTTGTAAACAACAATATAATCTACAATACACTACTCTCTGATTTATTACGACTTGTTTACATAAATACTTGCTTACATATGAAATGATTTTAATAATATAAAATGTTTTAATTCTAAAGAAATTTATTTCTATTAAAATTGTTAATTTATATTTATTTATTTATACGATCTTATAAATATTTTTTTTATATCGAAGAAACGCTTTCGGTATTTTAAATGCTATTGTTTAAATGTTATGCTAAATTACTTTCCGTTCCATTGAAATATTAATTTATGAAATTCCTTATATTACGATATCTCAAATGAAGTTAGAAACAAAAATTAAAAAAGGTTGATATAATTTAAATTAATTTAGTATCAATACATCTTAAAATTTCGTAATATCTAAACTACATTTTATCTTTTCGCTTTTGTAAATTGAGTGAAGCAAACAAAAAAACAAATTGAAATAACATATGGAAAACGGTTTTAAAATTTTAATTTAGAACTGTGTATATTTTAAATTGGTATTCCTAACCAAAGAGGAGATATTTGAGATCAAAATGGATAGTACGACAAAACATAATGAGATCTAAGACTATCGCGAGTTTTCTTTTAAATGAAACTAATATTTTTCGGATATACTACGTGCCCGTGATCACGGTTGCTGAAAAGTAGCAGAAACGTCGTGAGTATGTAGTTTTTTACAAAAGTAAAGCACGCGTAGTATATACGAAAAATATTAGTTTCATTTAAATAAGTACGACAAAACTTCAATTTCATATATAAGGATCTAATATTAGTAATTATCTACATCTATAGATATATTTATATGAACGACGTAATTATTTAATATTTTCATTCCATTATTACTGATATTAAGTTTGAATATTTCTCTTTTCTATATTTATAATTTCTTATCGATTGATAAGATACAAGATGTTAGTGAACCAGTATTTATCGCACGAAATCTGAACAATCACTATGGAAAGTTTCATAGAATTATTGTAAGAAATATATAATGGGTATTACTGGATGGGCTATATTTGAAAATCATTAATTGATAATTTCAATCTCGATAGTAGAATAGAATCAATTTATTCTTGGAACGATCTTGGAAGGTCTAGTGGGTTCTTTTCAAATTTGGTAGAGAGAGGAGCTTGGACGGTTAAGGTGAGCGTATAACGCGAGTTAGACAGGGGCCCCATAAACCTATACGTGGATCGAAGGATGGATTGTGGATGGATTTATATTTAAAAATATCTAAGTTTTTATCTCTTTATATATTTTGACTATGTAAAAATTCATAATCATACATTGTAGGTATTCTTTCAAAATGAGGTATAAAGTTTTTCATTCATTCAAGAATTGAATTGAAATTTCGAAACCAATTTAAGTGATGTTATAAATCACATTAATTTTATTAAATTTACATTTGAACTTATACAGAAAAAGTTTTGTGTGGAAAAGATTATAATTTTCTAGGTAATCCAATATTATTTTAGAAAAGATATGAATTTTATGAGAGTAAAAATAACTTCATTGGATTTTATACTTTGAAGGTTACATAGTGCTCACATTAAGAAGATTCTAAAAAACTTAATTAGTTTTAGTATAAAACTTACGTGTACGTAGCTATCTTTTTATCAAAACAGAATCTCTCCTCGCAACACGTCCAGTACAATGACTCCAGACAACTGAAAATAAAAAATAATTAATGTTTTAGATGCTAAAGAATTTGTTTTCACAAAGAATGTTTCGATATATATTATACGGAAAACCATTATATTGATTTTGATGTAATTCTGTGACATCACTATAATTGAGTAAAGAACAAGGTAAGCATAATATGTATAATATATTATATCATATCATCTTCTTCTACCTGGGAATTTCCCAGCTTTAGAGAGGGTCTGCCTTACATGTTGTTAATAGCTTTGGCTAATTGTTTTTACGACCGGCCGCCTGCCTGACATCAACCCTCTTTGGGAATGCATTAATCAGTGATGTCTAAATACTCTTAGAAAGTACGTATGACTCGGAAAAATCACATTGGTACTTGCCAGGATCGAACCCGCACCCTCGTGCATGAGAGGCATTTTAAACCACTAGGCAACCACTGACTTAATGATATTATATTATATATGAAATTTCCACAAATACAATATTTCCCTTTTTAAAAATATATGTACTCGTATCTCCTACATGCTACAAATTTTGTAGGAATGTCTTCTTTATGATATGGAAATTATCCATAAGTGAATTTTATAATAATTCATCTTCAGTAATGATTGCGAGGGTGAGTACTTGTGAGCGGTGAAATTTTAAATTTTTGTATGTCATGAGATACGCTGAGCAAGCGGATAACGGCAAGTTTTTAGTAAGGAAAGTACGGTAACGGTACGGTATTGGCATGAAAATATAGTAACTTTTTTTAGATTGTATTTTTTAAAACAATTTTTTTTCAACTATCAAAACAGCTGAGTTGGGAAGAAAATTTTAATATGGTTGTTTAAATTAAATTAAACTTTGTAAAAACCTCACATTTTAATCAAATAAATTAAAATCAATATTTACTTATGTTAATTTCTATTTGTATTTACATTAAAAATTCCTTGTTATTTATAAATATTTTATCAGTACGGTTTATTGAGTTGTAGTTTTAAAAATATCTTTTTCTTTTCTCAATTATCAAGCAAGGAGAAGATATGACTAAGATATACGTTAGAATATTAATTTATCTTTTATTAAAGATATGAGAATTGGATTATATAAGTATAGTTCTTGGTCTATTTATGTCAAAATAACGTCATCTTTTTTACTCTTATTCAGTTTTTTTGAGTATTGAAAAGGTATTTATGCTATTAAACTAGTTTTTTCATTTATCTATTATATAAATTATATATTTTTAGATATATAGCGAGATACATCGAACAATTAGAAGAGATTTCATTTTATACTTAAGTTAATTTAATTCTAGCTGCTATCGGCATTTTGTCCATGATTTTTGGTAAAAACAAAAATATATATAACTGAAGACGTACTGCTTATAAAAACATTGATTTTTTTTTAAACTTTAAAGCTTTTTTGTACAAACGCCAAGCATATAATAAAAATTTAAATCCATTGAATTTATCTTGTAATTGAGTCGTGATGATCTCGAAACCGCAGATCTTCATTATTTTATTAATAATTATATTTATAATTATACCTAACTAGTTTTAAATCTCCTAAAATCTTCGTCCCTCTCAAAAGATGAAATAAAATTGAACTAAAATATTATTAAAATAAAATGTATTAATTACCTCTACAATGTTCTGAATGTGTAACACAATTGTACGAGAAAAAAATATAAAACAGTTACTTAAAAAACTGTAAAATAATCACGATTTTGCACTGATTTTTTTAAGACAAATTCTATAACTGTCTTTGGTCACTCACTTTTCAACAGTGAATGAGCATTTAAGTAAACTTATTTTAATGTATATGTATATTTGTCATGGAGTTTCCAAATCAAATATTCCCACATCTTAAAAGACATGACCATAATTCCGTGACGTCCGTTATCATGACATTCATGATTTTATCATATGATAACTATGACTGATCATTATTGAACATTACACAAAGATCACGCTGTACAAGTATGTTATAATATTTCTCATAATTATCACTATATAAATATTTTGTGTAAACTCAATTTTTAGAACACTTAGCTACATTTTGATGTTCATGAAAATCAAACATGTCTTTATTATACATATATTAAATTTTATAGCATAAAAAATTACAAAACACTAGCAGAATAAATAAAAAAATTGTGTTATATTTGAAAATGTATTAAAAATTTAAATGTTAATAAAAAATACATGTTTTTTGTCTATGTTAAACTTATTGACAAGTTTATCTTTACGAGGTGATGTTTAAATCTTTTTAAACAACGAAGACTTTAGTTAAAAATCAATTTATAAAATAAACCATAACAATCTATAAAGTACTTTAAATATGTTTAAATTATTTCCGAAATCTAAGTGTTTAGAACCTTCTTCTCTTCTTCTTCCTGGCATTTTCCCAGCCCTAGCCAGGGTCTGCCTTCCAACATAGACGCCTCCACTTTGCACGGTCTTGTGCATCCTCAGTGGTTAATCTATTGGCTCTCATATCCTGCTTCACGATGTCCAGCCATCGCTTCTTTGGGCGTCCTGGGGGTCTCGCTCCAGGGACACACATATTGAGGCAAATCTTTCCGACGTAGTTCTCAGGCCGGCGTGCAACGTGGCCATACCATCTCAGACGACTCTCCTCAAGCTTATCCGCTACGTCACGGACTCCAAGACTACCTCGGATGAATGTGTTACGTATGCGGTCAGCCCGCGTAACGCCACACATCCACCTCAGCATCTTCATCTCCGTGACGTGAAGCTCCTGAGTGTGCCTGGACAGTACTGGCCAACATTCGCTGCCATATAAGAGAACCGGTCGGATTATGCTCTTATATATTAGTCCCTTGAGCTTGGGCGGTATTCTGCGGTCGCAGACCACACCTGTGACCTCACGCCATTTCGCCCAAGCAGCGCTGATCCGGGCTTGGACATCGTGATCGATGCCTCCGGACTCATGCAGAATAGATCCAAGGTACCTGAACTTTTCCGACTTAACGGCTGGTTCAGGACCTATATGGATGGTGCAAGAGTCCGGGCTCCCGCAAGCCATGTACTCGGTCTTCGACACATTTAGTTTGAGACCACCGTTCTCAAGCGCACCCTTCCAAAGGTTCACTCTCCGCTCCAGCGTCAGCCGGTCCTCGTCAATGAGCGCTATGTCATCGGCATACATCATCAGCCATGGAGGCTGGTCCTGGATGTTAGCCGAGACGGTGTCCAGCACTACATTGAACAAGAACGGGCTAAGAGCCGAGCCTTGGTGCACCCCTACTGAGATCGGGAAGGGTTTTGTATCGCCAACAGCAGTCCTAACTATGGAAACGGAATCGCGGTACATGTCTCTGATGATGTCAATATAGGCCTCAGGGATCCCTTTGGTTCGCAAAGCCCACCAGATACATTGACGAGGCACACAGTCAAAGGCCTTCTGCAGATCAAGGAATGCGATATGCAGAGCTCTCCTTTTTTCCCTGTATGCCTCCATCAGGGTTCTGATGGCAAAAATGGCGTCCAAGGTGCCCGATCCAGGCTGAAATCCATATTGACACTCCGAGACAGTACACTCTCGGCGGAGCCTGAGGTCGATCATGCGCTCAAAGAGCTTCATGGTGTGACTCATGATCTTGACGCCTCTATAACTACCGCAATCTTGAACACTGCCCCTGCCTTTGTAAATGGGGGTAATGAAGCTATAACGCCACTGATGTGGCATAGTCCCAGTGTTCAAGATGCGGTTGAAAAGGTCCGTCAGTATGAGCACACCAAGAGAGCCCAATGATTTCCACGCTTCGATCGGGATATTGTCAGGTCCCACCGCTTTCCGATTCTTCATGCGTCGAAGACAATTCCGAGTTTCATCAGGTGTTATCGGGGCAATAAGTCCAAGATTAGGAGGTGGTTCGGTAGGAAGACTGCACGGGTGCTGGGTATTTAGCAACTCCTTGAAGTAGCATTTCCATCTCTCCTTCACAGAGGCATGATTACACAGCAGTGTGCCCTGGGAATCTTTGACGCAAAGACATTTTGCGATATCTTGCGTCGCTTTATCCCGAGCTCGAGCCAATTTGTAAATGAGCTTCTGCCCCTCCGCAGTTTCAAGTGTATCATATAACGGTGATAACCTGTCACTGCGGGCTCTGGCAACAGCCCTTTTACTGGCACGTTTCGCTGCTATGTACTCTAGTCTGTCTTCAGGAGAGCGTGATTGCTGCCACTTCTTAAAGGCAGCCTTTTTGTTGCGAATCACCTCCTGCACTTCGTCATTCCACCACCACGTCTCCCTATCAATGACCCGTCCCCCCCTAGAAAGACCTAAAACTCGTTTGCCTGCTGTGATAATTGCTGACTGCGCTCGATCCCAAGCTTCCTGAGCAGATTCGGTATGGGTCAACAGATTTTGACTCTCAACCGCTGCCCGAAAGTTGGTCTGCATCGCTCCATTCAGCAACCACCACCTGATCCGAGGCCCACGTTTCTCGGCTACTTTCTTTTTCGGGGTAACGACAAAGTCCATGACAAGAAGACGATGTTGGGCCGTCAGGCTTTCACCAGGAATGACTTTACAGTTAGTCACCTTGCCGATATGACACCGTCTGGTCAGCAAATAATCTATTTGGGTAGAATGGGACCCGCTTTTATACGTGATAAGGTGTTGCGGAGTCTTTTGGAAGAACGTGTTCACGACGGCCAAGTCAGACGCAATACAGGTTCTGAGAATGGTTTCTCCCTCTGCATTGCGGCGACCATAACCAAAACCACCGTGTACACGCTCGTACGTATCCGCAGCCCTACCTACGTGGCCATTTAAGTCCCCCCCAACTATGATTACTTCAGCAGCTGGAATAGCGCGTAGAACCTCTTCAAATTGCTCCCAGAATGACTCTTTTTCTGACTCGCTACATCCCGCCTGAGGAGTATAGGCACTGATTAAGTTAGTTATGACTCCCTCGATCAATACCCGCACCCGCATCAGGCGGTCGCAGCGACGGTCGACTTCAAGAAGACCATTCTGAAGCTCTTCAGATAGCACTACCGCTACACCAGCTTTACCTGAAGGCGACCCAGTGTATATCAGCCGGTAACCCTGCCCGATGTTGCGAGACTTATTGCCCTTCCAGCGAGTTTCCTGAAGGAATGCACACTGGACCCGACGTCTCATGAGTACATCTGCGAGTTCTCTGCATCGTCCGGTTAGAGAGCCAATATTCCATGTTGCAAAGCGGAGTTTCCGATTGGGTACTGACGTCTTTAGCCGTGCCCGTACTTGACACGGTAGCCCTTGCCCACTTATCGCAGGTTTAGGGCGATGTGCCTGCGCGTCGTTTATCGGCGACGCCCTAACCATACCCATTTCTTTTTCCTTTTCCTTATCCATTTGAGTGGCGAGGAGTGGTTTTACCGGAGCGACTGCCGTCTGACCTCCAAAACCCCGTCAA